GTTGGCGCGGAACCAGGCAGTGTTTCATTCTGTTGTGCATAGAGTCACTATGACTTGGTGCCAACTTCATGGCACCTAACAACAACAACAACAACAACAACAACAACAACAACAAGGTTTTCAATGGCTGATTTTTCAGAACTAGATCACTTTTTTTCTGAAGCACCCCTGAGGGGATATGAACCTAAGTCTTTTTGCTTGGCGGTTGAGTAGATTACACATTTGCACCACTCTCCTCGATTATCCTGTTTGGATGTGCCACCTTCTCCCAGCCAGTACCTGACCAATAGGCTTGGCAAACTTTCCTGCTAACTAAAGGGTAACAGTCCTTCCTGGTCCTCTCCTGCCAAGTTGCTGAGAACTGAGCTGAGGAGGAAAGACCTGATGGGTGGCCTGGAGCTCCTTCTCCAGCTGACACTACCGACGACTGAGCAATCGGCCAGCCTGCGGCATCACAGGGAGGTTTGGAGGCCTGAGTACTGGCAGTACCACTCAACAACAGTCCGCAGAACTGGCAGTAATACCCACCAAGCAAAACTTGATGTGCGCTTGTCACAACTGTAAATGTAGAAGAGGTACAACTAATAGAGGGGAGCAGCTAATCTGTCATCTCAGTAACAGGGGACCCTAGGACCATCAAGAGTGAAGAACATGAGAGGAGCGAGGGATCATAGCCAGAAAAACGGCGACAACAGAGATGGTGGCAGAGGTGATGACTTAGAGACACACAGCAACAGTGGACTATAAGCTCAGAGCCTGAGAAAGGCAGTGTGTCTGTGGGCAGGAGGCTGGCTTGCAAAATGTGCCCTTTGGACATTTAAACAAATATATATTTTCAATGTGGTATGTGTACATAAAAACTAAACAAAACGATAATAGAGTTAAATACTGTTGGCTGAGGATGCATGGAGGGGATCGTAATCATGACTGATTTGCTGAATGTAAAACTGATGATCTGCCCTGTAAGCCTTCATTCACTTAATATACAATAAATAATAAAAAAACCCCAAACCAAACAAACAAACAAAAAAAACAACCCTGTTTCAAACTGTATGCCAGAAAATTAAATACTAAAAAGGAATGGTGTTATTCATTAAATATTAACACGCTGAAAAAGACCAACATATAAACCTCTGCTATCAGGTCATCCTGGTTATTAGAAGACCTAGAAATAGAGTTTCTCCTCCAAAGAAAAAATGAGAAACACAGTTGATGTGCAGACCTCACTGCATTGACAGTTCACAGCCTAGGTGGCTTGGGAGGCCAGGGCGAGAAGGGGCTTGGGATTGAGGCAATTCAGGGGTGTTGGTGGTTCAGAGGGTATTGAACCCTTGTCTCCATGTCCAGAGTGGGACACAGAGATGCTCCCAGAGCAGAGGGGCCAGGCTCCCTGCTCTCCCAGTTGAAGGCCCACCTTTCTAGCTAGAGAGGAAGAGGGGCTAGAGAGAACTTGAGTTCTCTCTGAGATGTGTCTGCATGGTGGGTGAACGGTCCTTCTAGCAGCTGAAAAGGGGCATGGGCAACAGAAACCTTAGGGATCACTCTAACCCTGTTCCCATGGCACCCTCCTACTAGTCCTGGTGGGCAGTGAGCACTACACCACTCCGGGAAGGCTGTGCTTTCCTGATACCTATGTGGTCAGTAACATACTGCCCTGCGTGTGACTGGCAGGCACCAAGGCCCCACAGGCTAGAATGACCCTGGATACTCTGCCATCAGAACCGGGCTGAGTTGAGGATCCCCAGGTCTTCTAGGAGGCTGGGCACTATCCCAGCCCCTAGCCACAGATAAGAATGGCTAGCGGAGTTTCCTCCTAGGGGGATGAGACTGGAGATCTGATGTGTGCCACCCCATCAAACTAGCCTTGAATGGTCTGGCCAGGGAAAGAGAAGATTCAAGCAGGAAAAAAAAAAAAAAGCTTGTGACCTTGGTCTCATTATTGTTTTTTAATGTACCAAAGAGCTCTGGTAGCGTAGTGGTTACGAATCTGGCTGTGAACTGCAAGGTCAGCAGTTTGAAACTACCAGCTGTTCCGCAGGAGAAAGATGAGGCTTTCTGCTCCCGTAAAGATTTACAGCCTCGGAAATCCTGTGCAAGGTCACTATGAGTTGGAACCGACTCCACGGCATGTAACAACAACAACAACAACAACCAAGTTCACTAAGGAGCCCTGGTGGCGCAGTGGTTAAGCACTAGGCTGCTGGTTGAAAAGTTGGGGGTTTGAACCTACCAGCAGCTCCAAGGGAGAAAAGATCTGGTGATCTGATCCCATAATGATTTCAGCCTAGGAAACCCTATGGGCAGTTCTACTTGGTCCTATAGGGTTGCTATGGCGGCACACAACAAAGACCACTTTCACACTCTTTGACCTTGAATGGTTCAAAGCCTTGAATGGTTTCCTGTTGGCTCCACTTGGCATTCAAAGGCCTTCACAGCCTGGGCTCCAAGCAGCACCCACTCAGCTCTCTCTCCTCCAATCGGGACCTCTCTCTAGCCAGAGCAGCGAATGGTCACAAAGACAGCAATGAGCATTTGCACAGTAGTTCTCATACTGAGTCCCCTCAATTCCAATAGCCACCCTCAGAGGTCAGGCAGTACCATACCCATTTTACAGATGAAGAGAGAGGCTCAGAGATGTTAAGCCACTTGCCTAACGTCATACAGCCAGTAAGTGGTGGAGACATGATTCACATCTAGGTTTCTGCCTCCCGACAAGGAGGTACGTTCCAGCCTGTGGTACACCTCACTTACGTGCTGAGGTAGAAGGACCATTAACCTGCGTCAATTAAGGCAAACTCTACAAACCAAAAAACATATTCCCAGCACACCTACTATGTGCTAGAAAAATCTGACTAAGCCACCCCAAGATTCATGCTTCCTTTCCACTGTGAAGAGATGAAATTGTGAAGTATCTGCCAAGCCAAGGACTACGTTTTCCAGTTTGCATTGCCTCTATGTTGGACCATGTGACTAGTTCTGGCCAGTGGATGAGGGCAGAAGTAGTATTTGCCACTTCTAGGTCTGGCGCTCGGATTCTTGGTATGGCGCTATAGGATCAGTACTGGACTGTAAACCACAAGGTCAGCAGTTCAAACCCACCTTGGAAACTCCTTGGAACCCCTATCAGGGTCACTTAACAACAACAACAATGGGCCTGGCCCTAAAAAACTTCCCTTGCAAATCTCCACACTAACTTTTCTCTAAAAGAATTGAACCCTACCAAAAATTATTTGAATGAATATTTTCTCAACCTCCGAAGAATGGTACATACTTAGGACCATTGTAAATGCAAAAGACATAAGTTAATTCATTAAAAGAGGCTTCAGAAAGTTTATGGAAAAATTCCATTCTCTTATAATGCCATTTTCTCATGAACTTTTTGAAGCCTCCTCATACATAACTCATGCTTCAGAGCACCGGACCTTCATCCTCACCCGGAGTTGGGTTAAGAGGGGGTTGCTTACACTGTATCCTCTCTTGTCTGCTGGCTATATGTTGTTGTTGTTGTTAAGTGCCGTCGAGTCGGGTCCGACCCATAGCGACCCTGTACAGGGTTTCCGAGGGTGTAAATCTTTACGGGAGTAGAAAGCCTCATCTTTCTCCCGCGGAGCAGCTGGTAGTTTCGAACCGCTGACCTTAAGGTTCGCAGCCCGATTCGTAACCACGCTGGCTATATGAGAGACTTCAAAAAGTTTGTGGGAAAATTCCATTCTCTTTCATGACCTTTTCGAAGCCCCCTCATAGGTTGATGGAGTCCTGGTGTGTTGCTATAGGATAAGCACTAGACTGCAGGTCAGTTTGAACCTCAAGGCTGACGATTTGAACTAAGGAGCTTCTCGGAAACCCTGTACAGGGTTGTTTTGAGTCAGTACTAACTCCCCAGCACTTAACAACATAGGTTGTTTCCAGCGCAACTCTTGGAAACCATCTTAGTGAGTCTCGGTCAGCTGTGTCCTTGAATGATGATATGGCAGGATTTTATTTGAATGTTGTTAAGTGCCATGGGTTCCCTGTCTAGGGTTTCCAAAGACATTTGGTGGGTTTGAACCACCGACCTTTTGGTTAGCAGTCCAGTGCTTATTCTCTACATCACCACACCAGGAATAATACATTTGAATTGTTACAAGCCACTGGTATTTTGGTCCAGTGTTAGCTAGTGTTATCTTAAACGAATGCATGAGGCAGAAAGAGAAATAGGTTAAGAAAAGACTCCCTAAAAGGTTAAGTCACAGGATGAGATGTAAATTCCTAGTCAGGCAGGAGAGCTTGGTGGTGTTTGGGGGAAGACCCCCAAGGGCCCCAGATGACGTATCTGGGAACATCCAGGCCCTGTGAGGGGCCAGGACTAAAGAGAAGGCTCAGTATGGGGTATAGAAACTACCACAGAGAGTGGCTCCTCTCAGGTGTTTGAGGGCCTAAGAATCACCCAGAGAGGTAGCAGATGACAGCAGTTAAGAGACGCTGCCAGAGCAGTTCCCACAGTTTCCTATGAAACTGTTCCAGAGGCCCATCCCAGCGCTGCAAAACCCGTCTGTGCGACTTTGCATCAAACACGACTGGGCTTAAAATCACACAGTGAACCCTGCGAGCAGACCCACTTTGGCCTTTGAGCAACAAGTTTGGCAACGCCTTGGGAAGACTGTCCAAGCTCCCACAGGCCCCCAGGTCAAGAACTAGAAGTCCTTTTCCAGTCCTTCCGCGCCCCCGCCCCTCCTCCGGTGCCGGCAGTAGCCCCTCCGGGCCTGCGGAGTAAAGTAGGTTCACAGCTGAGTGTAGCTCTCCACACAACGAGGAGGTCTTTGGTACAATACGGTCTCAGATAACCAGAGCTCGCGGACAGGGAGCCCTACATGCATAAATACACTTAGTGACTACTTCAAGAGACCACCAGTAACGACGGGGAAAGCCGCGGGAAGTAAACAGATTATTCCAAACAGAAACCTGGGAAACCCGGGCGCACCCAAGTTAAACCCAGAGACTACGCATATGCAAATTCTCCTCTAAGTCTCCAGCTCTTCCAGGAGACCCCCGGGGGCGTCCGCCGCAGACCCCGCCCTCCCCCGCGCGTGCGCGTCGCACTCCCGGCGCTCGCCCTTACCCGAGCGGTGCCGCTGGCGAAGGAGGACTGCTTGGCCGGGTGGCGGGGACGCGGAGGAGGCGGCGGCCGCGGCCGCTACAGTGGTGGTGGCGGCGTGGGCCGCAGAAGCGACTTCGGCGATTCCGGGATCTGGGGAACCAGGCGGGCCCCCGGATGGCGGTGGGCTCTTGTCGCCGCGCCTGGGCTCAGAGGTGGCGCGGTCCACGGTACCAGTGGGGCCCCCGGCGTTGGCTGCGATGGCGGGGCCGTGGCGACGCGGGCCACTGCTCTGGATGTGAGACACGGCCTCTGCAGCCTGCATGTTGGGCGGCGCGAAGCGCGAGAGCACGCGTAGCAGCGCCTGGGCCTTGTGCTCTTGCGTGTCGTCGTCGCTGTAGTCCGACACGCGGCACTCGTACACGCCTTCGTCCTGCCGCCGCACGGCCGACAGCCGGAGCCGGTGCGAGATGTCATTGCCCTGGACGCGCACGGTCTGCAAGGAAGCGGGGATTGGGCAGTCAGAAGCCGGGCTGGGCAGGCTCGGGACCCCACTCCTGGCTCGCGCTGAGCAGCCGCGCCGGCCTCTGCGTTCCCGTCTCCGGACAGATATGGAGTGAGAGAAAATACAGCTTTCCGTTCACTCCATGTCTCCCCAGTGGCACGGGTCTCCTACGCTCTTGGACCCCGAGTTGCCGTGCCCATTGCATTGTGCCCCCAGTACCCTATCGCCGACCGTAACCGATCGTTCCATTTGGCATCCCCTCTCCCTCCAGACCTCTGCTTCATCGTCCCACAGCTTTCTCTTCCGGACTTTAGGATTCCACCCCGCCCCCGCCCCCCTCCTTAACCCTCCCAAGTCTTTCTGGCAGCCCGCAACCTTGCGCTCCAACAGACCGCATCGCCTGTAGTCCCGCCCTCCATCTCTCCCCGCACCAACAGTCCTTTTTCTACATCGGGTTCTCAAGGAAGCTTGCCTGCCCCCCCCCCCCCGCCACATACGCAGTTCTATCCTGCCCCATAGGGTCGCTATGAGTCGGAATCCACTCGAGGTCAGTGGGTTTGGGTTGGCTCCCAGACCACAGCTACTCCTCTGCCCTCCCAAGGGCAGTGCTGTTTGCTGGGGCTCGCCTTGCCCAGCGGGAGCCCGAAGCTCCCATAGAATAGCATCGGATTAAGACTGGGGGGCGAGGAGGGAGGAGAAACACCCCACTTCCTCCTCATTGCCCTCATCATGCTCTTAGAGAACCCTTACCTTAGAACCGAACCCACGAGGAGGCCCTGGTTATCTCAAAAAACCCCACAAACTCTCTGCCACTGAGTGGGTTTCTACACAGAGACCCTAGAGAGTAGATTCCCCAGATTGCAAATCTTTACAAGAGCAGACAACCTCATCAGTTGGCGGATTTGAACCACTAAGCTTGCTTTAGCAGCCCAATGCTTAGCCCACAGCACCACCAGGGCTGCTGGTGTTCTCCAGGCCCTTATAATTTCACGTTCTAACCGGGGAGTCTCTGATGCATCTCCCGCCAGAGTTCTGAACCTCGCGCACCTCCTGTAAGCCTACAACACCCAGCAACACAATGCCGCAGGCGAAGCGTGAGGGAAGGCGAAGAAGAACCCACCAGCACGAGTATCGGGCTGCAGTGCCGGCGAAGAGAAGCGCGGCCCTGCGGTTGGAAGAAATGCCTGCAGAGCTAGCAAAAACGTAAAGGCCAGGGCCCGCCATCCTGACAAAGGGGACTCAGGCCTCAGACCCTAGATGTACACCGAAAATAAACCCGATGCAGCCATCAGCGGCAGATGGCGCCCGGACACACCAAGCAGCGGAAAAATGCAGAGCCGAGAGCAGGACCCTGCCTTCGTAGGGTCGCCAAGGCTTTCTAAAGAGGGAGCTGCGGGACACGAAACGGCCGGAAGGGGTCTCCCGCGGCCCACGTTGGGCTCACACTTACGCTGATTTTTGTTGCATCCTTACTCGTCACCTAAAATGCAAAGAGCAAGAGAGGTGTTAGGCTCCTGGCCTTCAGGCCCAGGAAACTCAGATTCACCTATCGCAAGTGAACTATCTGTGGGCAGTCTGGGACCGGATGCCGCCCAGGATGTGGTAGGATTAAAGGACACCTGGATGCTCAGTTTTACCGGGAATTGGGGCTTGGAGTTGACATGATGTCTGTGTGAGGTGGGGCTCCCTAACACACAATCTGCCAGGGGATAAGGGAGGAGAGGCTGGATTGTCACCAGGGTGAGAAGGAAGGCCCATCTCCCTCTCATTCCCTGCCCAATACGCCCACATCCGCAACATCTACCTTCTAATTTGGGGGCCTGAAAAACTGGATGGAACGATGGATGTAGGGACAGGACCAAGTGGGAGACTGGGAGCAGTAACTTCCAGATTGGACCCTGGGGAGAGGGCAGCTGTGTTAAGTGTGTTAGAAAGAGTGTGGATTACTGAGGTAGCTGACAGTGTGGTCCGGTTTTCATCTGCAGGGAGGACGCCCCACAGATTTTTTTTGGGGGGGGCGTTGTAGGTGATTTGCTAGCTTGTCTGCACATGGTGCTTTGCTAGCCTCTGGAACGGAGTCCAGAGTAGCTTAACTCATTGGCTCTGTGCCATGGTAACCTCAGTGTGGTAGAGCCCGGGGCAGGGTCCTCCCTCAACACCCAGCATGCACCAGAAGCTGTGCCCACAACCAGCAAGCAAGCAGGCAGACTGGTTGAGGTATGGATTTTTAGGGGCTGGATATGAAGCGAATTCGGAGTGGGTTCTGAAGAAGGAAAACTCCAAGGAATTGGCAGGGTTTGGGGGTTTACGCTGAAGATGCTGTGGATATAGGGAGGGTACGAGATGCGCAGCGCCACAGGGCGGCGCTCTTAGTTCGCGAACTAGGCTGCCTTCGGCTCAGGGCTCACCCCCACCGTCCCCGGCCTGATCCGGGTGAAAGCGGACGCCGCGTGGGCGGCCGGTTGGCTACCTTGCTTCGGGCGCCGGGCACACTGAGCGCCAACTCGTGCAGCAGTTCCCGGGGCGGCTCTTTGAGGTACCACCATTGAATTTCCAGCGAATATGATGTGGCTCCGCTGGCCCGGAACGCGCAGGGCATTTCGATGTCGTCTCCTTCCCGCACTGTCACATCTTTGGGGACTTCGGTGAATGTAGCTGGGGGCGGGGAGAGAGAGGCGTGACCAGCTGCGGGGCGGGGGCCAGGGGCAACCCCAGGCAAGGCTGTCTGTCCCCTAAGCGCTGGCCTTGAGCCCCCTCCCACTAGCCACACTGAGGCCCGCGGCGGGAGGCGCTAACAAAGTTCGGTCGAGCAGCAGCAAGATCGCAGCAAGGACCGACCGCTAGCTGCAGGCTGCTTCCGTCCTGATTGGGCTGGGCGGTAGGGGAAGCTCACGATTCTCCCCCGCACCCAGCAGCACCACCAGAGTCAGGCTAGGGAGAGCCAACTCTCGCGCTCTGCAGGCCACCTCTGCAGTCGGAGACCCGGCCGGGTTCAGAACGACCCGGGCGAGGGTGCCGCCGCCGCGGTGCCCCTCCGCTGCTCAGGTCCCCTCGGCCCTCCAGGCCCGGAGGCACACCGGGATTGCTGGAGACTGTGAAACCTTCCCCTTTTCTTCCTCCTCCTCCTTCGCGGCGACCAAGACACGCTTGTTCTGGCGGCCCCGGCGAGGACCCCCCGCGCCCCCCGCGGCAGCAAAGTTCCCGCGCTCACCGTTGGCCAAGAAAAGCAGCAGGGCGTGCAGCAGCAGCGGCGGCAGGTATCCGAGGGCGCCGAGCCGGTTCCGCTGTTCCATCTCCCGCGTGGGGCGCGGCGGCGGCGGGGGCCCGGGCGCGGAGAGGCGGCTGTGGCGGCAGCGTGGGCACGGATCCGGCTCGGGCTTGGGCTCAGGCTAGGACGTCTCCGAGCCTGCCATGGCCCCGCGCTGCGCCCCCTCCCCCGGCCGCCGGCGGCCGCCAATCAGCCCCGTTCCCTCGCCGGCTGCCCGGCGCGGCTCCGGAGGGGGGCGCTGCGCTGGGAGCGCTGAAGGCGAGGTCCTGCCGGGAGGTTACTGAAGATCCGTCTGTGTCTTCCTCAGTCCGTCGGTCCACAGGACGATAGGGATCCGCAGTTCAGTCTCTGCCCGGCGGGCCGGGCAGGAGACGGGCCGCGCCGGGATCCATCCCTGGCGGAGGGGGTGCGCGCCTTGGAGTCGTAAGCTTCTGCCTCCCAGTTTCCTTCTGGTTTGGCTCCCAACTGCCACCTCCTCCGGCGCCCGCCGAGCTCTCCCGCCACCGCCCCCGCCGGTCCCTCCGCGGCTTTCTCCGCAAGGCGAGTGGGCGCTCAGCCGCGGCGCGCAGACCTGGCGTCGGACCCAGAGCAGAGCGGGGAGAGCGGGTCCGGCGTGGCGGACCCGGAGCGGGAGAGGCGGGGAGAGGGGGAGGGGAAGGGAAAGGGAGGAGGTGGTCAGTGGCTGGGTGCCGAGCCGCCTCCACCGCTGCATCACCCCCGCCCTCCCCTCCCTCTTCAGCAGGCACTGTCCCCGCCCCGGAGCTCACCCCCCTCGCGGGGGTCGCTAGGAAGCACCACCACCGTTTCTCTAGTTGTAGCGCAGCCCCGCCCCGCACCCGCTTGGGGGGGGGGGGGGAATGTCTTCCCACCCAAACTCTCCCTGGCTTCCTCCCAGTCTCGGTCGCCCGAGACAGTCGTTCATTCTGGCTTCCCGCGTGTCCCGCGGCCCACTAACGCAGTCCCGCGCCCTCAACTACTTACCCCGGCATAAGCAGAGAGCCGCACCGGGCCATGGCGGGTGGGTGCTGGGGATCGGGAGAAGGGCAGGATGCTGTACCCGGTAAGGGAAGAGGCCGGTGACAGCAGCGACGCCGGGAGCCTGCAGTGTGAGAGCGAGTAGTGAGTGCAGGGCGAGCAGGTGCCTGTGGCGCGGAGAGCGCACGAGCAAGCCTCGGAGCAGCGGCCGTGAGTGACGGCGGAGGCGGCGGGGGTGGGGTAGGGTGGAGAGCGCCGGGCACGACTCAGGGCCCTTGAGGTTTCCGGGCTGGGGTGGGGTTCCTGCCCCTAGATGACCGGTCTCCGCGGATCCCACCCACCGCTGGTCTCGGTCCCTACTTTACCGGGTGCTATAGGGATCCCGAGAGAGTGAGAGGTAGAGGTCGGGTCCCCAGATGCGTTCCGAAGCCCATCCCCCGCCAGCACAGTCCCGCAGCCGGGTCCCTCCCCCAGCCTTTAACTGGAGAAATTCCCTCTCCCCAACAAGCTGCAGGAGTGTGCTTAGGTCCCTGAAGGGATTTGGGGCTGGCCTGTGGTCTGGACTGGGCACACAGTCTCTAGGGCGACTCCTTCTTCTCTCCTCTTCCCCATGGGAGTCCCCAGCCCGTGGATTTCCCAAGCTCCGATCAAGACTCACCCCTTGCCTTACTCCTCAGCTCTGACTGAGGCTGGGGTGAAGGAACCCAGTCAGGTTCACAGCTCTGCTTTCCCTGGCTGGCCTGCCTGCCTACTGGAGGAGCCACCAGGGGGTTCCCCGGGAGTCAAAGAGAGGGAAACCTAAAGGGAAAAGACTTTCTTGCAGCCAGCCGGGTCCAGCAGCTGCCAGCCGCACAGTCTGGGAGAGCGCAAAGACGCGCTCGAAGCTTTGCGCTAACCAGCAGGTGCCCCTGGGCCACACCCCTCTCCTTCTTCCCTCTCCCTCCCAGTTTGGATTTTAGTGGTCTAGGAGCCCTTCCTTCCCCCTAGGGTCACTGTTGCTCAGATGTTGAGCCTATGTTTGGCAAGGTCTCTGGCTAGGGCAGTAGGAATGTGTGGGGCCTTCCTCCTCTCCCTGGAGTCTCTGTCTAGGGGCCAGCTGTCGGTTATTGCATTCTACAGGCGGGGGAACCCACCCTTAGAAATCCCACCTTCCCTTTGAAGCCTCTCTGGACCCATAGCCCATGAATTTAAGACCCTGTAGGGCCCCATTGCTATCCTCAGCATCTGAAGGGAGGGGGCAGGCTTGCACTGTGCTACACAGATTGAGGACTAGGGTGGGATTCTAATTCTAGGAAAGCCGATTCGGGCTCTGACTCTAAGCCTGGTTCTGACAGCAAGCGCTTGCCCTGGTGTAGTGGCTTGCCTAGAGAGGTAGTATTCTCTACCGTATCCAGCAGAGGCTGATGGCCAGACAAGGGATGTGTGAAGGGAGATTTTCTGCAGCTAGAGCTAATTACACCTTGGCTATCTTTAAGGGTGGTCAGTTTTCTAAACCCATACAACTTTATAGTACCCTTTGTTTCTTGTGCATTACACAAATTATTATTATTAATAAGAATAATAGGTAGACTTTATTTTCTAAAACTTTCCATGTACCAGGCACCGGCTACACACTTTCCATGCACCACATCACGACAAGATAACCAGGTGCTGTTTCTCAGATGTAAGCCAGATCATTCTTTCTCAGTTCAGTGTCCTGCAGTGGTGCCCATTTCACTCCGCAGAAACACCAGTGTCCTTGCAAAGGCCGACAGAATGAAACATTTTGCTTCTCTGTCCTCACCCCGTCCTCCTGCCAATGCCTGACTCACACTCCTCTAACCACGCTTGGCTCTTCCCCACTAGTGAGGCAATACCCAGGGCCTTTGCATTAGCTTTACCAGCTGCCTGGGACACTCCACCCCCAGACACCCACTTGATTCTTTAGGTTCTACATGCTCCTTCATGTTCTTTAGATCTTTGTTGTGAAATCACTTTCTTGGTGAGGCCTACACAGACCACCATATTTAATGCTGCAATCCCTATACTCACCCCACTGTCTCCTTCCCCCCCCTCCCAATAGTACTTACTGCTTTCCCTCCTACTGTACAATATCCTTATTTATGATTCTTGTTTATTGTCAGACGGGACTTTGTCTGCCTTGCTCATGGATATATCTCTAGGACCTGACCCATAGGAGGAACTCAATGGATATTTAAGCAATGAATGGAGGAGTTCATTTAATTTTTGTAATTATTTGGAAGGTAGACACCATTGTTTCCTCTATGGTAATGCTACATACCTATGAAGTATGAAGCTTTAATGTAGGTCTGCCTAATTCTGGAGTTTTACTTTTTAACCCAAACATCCGCTTCCTCCTGCTTTCAGTTAAACTCTGGTTCTGCTTCCCCGAGTTGGTGTCGAAATCAAAGTCCTTCTGCTCTTGGCTGGCTGCATCCTGAGCTAGTCCTACAGTCCCTTCTGGCCTGGCCAGTCAACCTGCAGTTGCTCTGGGTTGGGAAGGTCTGCTGACACGTCTGCCCTGTCTCAAAGACTGTATGGGCAGTAGCCAGGCCTTTCTTCTTCATGTCTTTGCCTCCCAGATGGTCCTTACCCATAGCTACTGTCCAGTTGGCTTCCAATTCTTGGTGACCCCTTGAACAGTGGCATTTGTACCTTGTGATTCAGAAGCTTTTCATTGATTGATTTTCAGAAGTAGCTCTCCAAACCTTTCTTCCTAATGCATCTTGACCTGGAAACTCAACTGAAACCTCTTCAGCATCATAACAACATGTGCTAGAGGTGCATTAGCCGAGAATCACAACAGGGTCTCCATTGCCCCCAACTCGTAGTTGTTGTTTGTCATGTGCCATTGAGTGGATTTCAAATCATAGTGACCTGGTGGCATATGTGAAGTATGGAAGACACGGCACATGCCCTGGGCACCACTTGAGGAGTGGCATGAATGAGCAGTTTCTCTTCGTCACTGCTGTTTCCATCACCAGCTGTAAGAGATCATTCAGCAATTTAAAATGAACTGCAATAGACATGATTTTCTGTGACTACGCCTCTGCCTGTGGACCACAGTAGAACTGGCCCGGAGGGTTTCTTTGTGGAAGCAGATAACCAGCCCTTTCTTTTCTCCTGTGAAGCAGCTGGTGGGTTTCAGCTGCCAACTTATCACTTAGCAGCTGAGTGCTTAACCAATGCACCACCAGGGCTCATAGTTACCCTCACTGCCATCGAGTGGAAGCTGACTCGTGGAGTAGAACTGCTCCTTGGAGTTTTTGAGGCTGGCAGTCTTTATTAGAACAGAAAACCTCACCTTTCTTCTGCGGAGAGGCTGATGGGTATGAATTGCCAATCTTGCAGTTAGTGGTGCAGCGTTTAACCCACTGTGCCACCCAAAGCTTCTTGACCCATAGTTCTCCAAACTCTACTGATTGATTCCATCACGAAGTGATCCTACATAGGATTTCCGAGACTCCATCTTTATGGGAGTTGTCAGCTTCATCTTTTTCCTGCGGAGCTGCTGGTGGGTTTGAACCACTGACCTTGCGGTTAGCAGTCCAATGCTTAGTCCACAGTGCCACCAGGCTACCTTGACCTATGTGAAGAGCTCAGTCAGTGTTTGAGCCAGGATCACTGTCAGGAGTATCCTGGAGGAGACATTTGGCCTCTTCTCCGCAGGGATTTCATCCTTGCGTCACTTGTAGGGTCAGTGAGCTGAGCTCGGGCTGCAGCCCCCACCAGTCCTTGCCAGTTTCTGACTGGCCCCCTCTGTGCATGGAAGCCAGTTCCTTTTCGCTGTAGAAAGGAGTCTGTGCTGTGAGGTGTTTCTTCCGAGGGGCCTCTCCTCTCGGACCACACAGCTGCTCAGCCTCTACCACTGCAAATATCTCTTGGGCTCCCACAAAGATGTCCTTTTTCAAATGAGTCTTGGTCATGTGAAGCAGGCTTCTCTACTGATGAGCTTGGGAGAGCATTTCAGAACTGTTTTATCTCCAGCCCTGATTGTTCTTCCATATGGATGAAAGGATTCTCTCTGCAGAAGTTCTGAAATGTCTGAGG